AGAGAGCGCGTGCGTGCACGTGCACACGCAGTGGGGAGGGGCAGAGGGAGAAGCAGACTCCCCGCTGAGCAGCAAGCCTGACGACGCCTAACCCACTGAGCCACCCAGGCGCCCCTGCACTGTGAGTTTTTAAATGTAAAAGTTAGACTGTAGTAATGTGATATTGTCTTAAAGTTTTGTCTATAAATCTGAGTAAAATGACACGGAAATGCTGCCTGCCAATGTGATAGCACAACCTCTCGATCATCTGTTCACTCCTTCATTCATTCAGCAAATATTTCCCAAGCCCCTCGCTAAACGAGTGCTCTGTCCCACGCCGTGACTGACCCACTGCCCCACCTCAACTGGACCTATTACAGTTGTCAGCGGTCCTAATTCCAGCGATTCCTACTGATGAATGCGTTCGCAGAGGAAACTGGTCTTTCAAAACGGAACACTTAGCAACACCTTACACCGAGAGCAGTTTGCCTCAAACGCCCACACCACGCTTGGAAAGCCTAGAAGGTATCAAAAGGCAGCTTTAGATAACATAAATGCCCTCAACTAAAAGGACAACACCAAAATGAGCCCATTTGATGGGTTTTGAGAGAAAGCTTTAAAACTTCTACTCGTCAAAATGAAGCTCGAACTTCATTTTTGGTTTGAAACATGCAGAATTCACAGCCCGAATATTTTTGAAGGTCTTTAACTCAACCCATCTTGGATTCTCCACATGGCTGCGTACAGATGAGAAATACAGGAAAATCACCTATTCCCATACAATACTCCCCCTTATCCACGGTTTCTCTTTCCATAGCTCGTTAGCCGTGATCAGTCGTGGTCCGCAAGCAGGTTATCCTCCTTCCAGCTCTAGTCAGGTCAAGCGCAGCCTAATACAGTGTCAAGAGTGTCCCAGTGCCTACATCACTCCCCTCCCCTCCCCTCCCCTCATCACGCAGGCATGTTACCGCACATCGTCACACAAAGGGGGAGTACAATACAACAAGATTTTAAGAGCGACACCACATTCACCACTTTTATTACAGTATATTGTTATAATTGTTTTATTTTTTTTTTATTTTTTTTTAAGATTTTTATTTATTTGCGAGAGAGAGAATGAGAGACAGAGAGCATGAGAGGGAGGAGGGTCAGAGGGAGAAGCAGACTCCCTGCCGAGCAGGGAGCCTGATGTGGGACTCGATCCCGGGACTCCAGGATCATGACCTGAGCCGAAGGCAGTCGCTTAACCAACTGAGCCACCCAGGCGCCCTAATTGTTTTATTTTATCATTGTTGTGAGTCTCTTACTGTGCCTAATTTATAAATGAGACTTTCTCACAGGTAGGCGGGAACAGGAAAGCACATAGTGTATATGGGGTTCGGTACTATCACAGTCTCAGGCAGCCACTGGGGGTCTTGGAATGTATCCCCCTCAGATGAGGACTGCAGTGTGTGAGGTCACCCCTGGAGCGGATCCTGTGACACTGCAGCCTCGTCACTCCCCCTCCACACCCACCTGGGCTCCAATCAGACCAACCCTCTGACTGCGTCCTTTCCACCAGGCTCCTCACCAGCGCTTCCACATTCGGCAGAAGCTCTGCTGGTACTGTCCACTCCCCGCAGAACGCCTGCCCTGTCCCCAGCTCTTCCCGACATTTTCACTCCACTTGAGCATCACCTCACGTGTGAGTCCCAGCCCTTTCTGCCTCCTCCTCCAGGGCCAGCCGCCATGCACACCGTAACTGAGCCCTCGTACCCCCCGGGCAGAGCCACTGCCCGCCAACCCTCACTAGTCCCCGGTTTCCTGGAGGAGCTCAAGGGGCCCAGCTTGATCTCATCTGATTCCCTAAGGATGAAGGTTCACAGAGGACCTGCCCAGGTCCCAGTGTCAATTATGCAGCTTGCATTTAAGACCTTAATAGTCAAAACAGTTAAGCACCTGGAGAGAGAAACTAGAAGGTCCAGGAAAGCAGGCCAAGGAAACAGACTACCCCTTTCTGAATCAAATTCGAAACCACATTTTTTTAAAAGATTTATTTATTTGAGAGAGAGAGAGCATGCACAGGTGGGGGGGGGGCAGAAGGAGAGAATCCTTAAGCCGACTCCCCACTGAGCACAGAGCCAGACGCAGGGCTCGATCTCACGAACCAGAAGATCACGACCTGAGCCGAAACCAAGAGTTGGACGTCCGTCCAACTGACTGAGCCACTCAGGCACCCCTAAACCACATTTCTTTACATTTGAGAGGAATCCCCAGAATATCAAACTCCTTCACAATCTTAGCAGTGAGATTAAGCACCAGGGGCTCTTCATCGTTAGAGCTTTAAATGATAGTTCTAGAAGGGTAGCATGCAGACAGAGCCCCTTCTACCCTCTTCTCCCTCCAGTTTAACACAAAGTGTTTGTTACCTGTATATTCTTCACAGTTGGGAACTGTGTCCAACTATGACCATTCCTGTCTTGTCCCACAAGAGCTCTGAACTGTGGGCTCACTTCCCTTATATAGGAGGAGAGGAATAGGAGAGTCTCTGTGACTTCCCATGTCTAGTTCAATTTTGACCCTCAAATCCTGTCCAAGTAGGAACTAGACTGGCCTGGCTGAAGAAAGGGCAGCAAAGTCTGTGCCAGCCAGTGGATACCTGTCCCCATTCACTGGCTGCTCCTCCTCCATAAGATCTCAGACCCTCCCCTAGTCTCTCACTGTATTCTCGTCGCAGTGCTGGATATTCCTTCCATTAACAGAGGACTCTCAAAACAGCTCTTTTCAGCTCAGACCTCTCCCCTAAGCTCCACACTCTAATACCCAATTGCCTCCTAGGCATCTCACAATCAGTATGTTCAAAACACAACCCCACTCCTCAACGTGCTCCCCAGAAGCCTTCCCTCTCTCTCGGTAAATGTATACTCTCCATCCAGGTGCTCAGGCCAGGCACCTAGGAGTCAGCCTTGATAGCTCGCTTTCCCTCCTATCCTATATCCAGGGCATTCATACATTCTCCTGGCTCTGCCTCTGCATCTCACTCTGACCCACATGTCTGCTACAGGGCCCTTATTATTATCTGGTCACAGCTAGACAGTGTAGTATCGTTTCAACTGGTCTACCTCTGTCCACTCTTGTCCAGCCCATCCTCCACAGAGCAACCACTGTCCTCCCTACATCTTAAGGCACGTAAGTCCTCCGCTTCCACCCTCCAATCAGTGCCCACGGCCACTGGCACGAAATTCCCGCTGTGCTCCACAAGATACTATGGGAAGTGCCCTTCATCTGCCCCAACTCGCTCCCCCAACACTGGCCCGATTTCTGTCTTTTGAACACACCAACCTGATTTCCATCTCAGGGTCTCTGCAGTTGCTTCCTTGGGCTCAAAACATTCTTGCCCTGGATCTTTTGCCTCCTTCGGGGCTCAACACCCGTCACCACCTCAGAGAGGCCCTACCTTGATCATCCCGGCTAGAGCTCTCCCTCGGTCACGCCCTACATTCGCCCTAGTTCATCGTCTCCACAGTCCTTATCAGCACTTGAAATTGTGATACTCCGTTTTTTGTGTCAACTCCCCATCTTTTCTCCAGAATGCTACCAGTCAAGGGGTGCAGGGGCTCTTCCCTCGCTCCCTGAACACGACAGCTGAGGCGGTACCTGACACAGCCATGGCATTCGATGCGTGCACTGACTGCAGCCCCCCAGGTAGGTACTACTCACAAGTGCCCAGGCTCTAAGTTCTTAGCAGGAGAGCAGCAACCCTGAGGAGGGGGGAAACCGCTTGCATGGATAGGACACTGTAATTACAAGGTCATTCACATAGACTTTTATTCCAACGTTTCAGTAATCCGGCAGGCAGGTATCTGCATCTTGGAAGTGAAGAAACCGAGGCTCAGACAAGGCACATTATCACCCTTCCTCCATGCCACACCGTGCCTGCCACACCCAGGGGGCCACCTCCTAACCATTCAGCTCCAGCTGCCCCGGCCTCCCGAGCACACAAAGACCTTGGTGCCTTCCCTCCCAAGCCTCCAGCCATCCTGCCCCGCTCCCCCAGAGCTCTACTCACCAAGAATTTCCAAACTCCAGCTCCAGGCTTTACACATGAATATGCTACAAGACTCTGCCTTCACGTTTCATCCTCCCCACAGTAAAGCCTCCCTGGACAAGGATTTCTCCCCACCCTGCTTTAATCAGGCTATAAACTCCTCAAGGGCAGGAATTTGGTTGTGTGTGTGTGTGTGTGTGTGTGTGTGTGTGTGTGATCTCAAGAGTGTTTGGCCAAGGAAAACCAAAACCCTATTTAACTGTACTAACTGGCTGGTCCAGTTGGGCAAGTATAAGTTAAAATTTACAGTGGAACAGCCTTGGGTTTTCACGCTTCCACAGAAAAGTGATTAAAAGGCTGACACTCCCTTCTGAACTACAATCTCACTTTCAAAAGACTAGATTTCTAATGACCTTCCAAGATATCACATAAACACATATCCGACCCCCAAATTAGGGCAAACAAGCTATTATTAAGGATACACTGGCAGCTATCATCTCTTATTATATATGGAGCACTCTGAGCTCATGAAGAAGCGGAAATCATTATCACTATGTATTTTACAAACGTGGATGCAGGTTCGGAGGACAAGTAACTTGTCTAGTGTCACACAGCTGGTAAGTGATGAAATAGTTGTGCCCCATACTCTCTGATCTTGCTCTAAACCACCACATCCCAAATCTCCTTTCTCTTGATTGCGTAACATCACTAAAGCACTTTCATTTATCTACTTTTTAAAAAAAAGCGTTTTACAAGAGCATGGCCAGTTATAATTAAGGTCTATAAAGTACGTTGAGCTCCGTGGCAGAGGGCCCAAAGACTATCTGCCGCCCTTGTGTGGACCACAAAATCAGTCATCTCGTCCTGGCCATCCAAACATTTTATAAGAGACTTTTTTCCCCTGTCTCCCTGAAGAAACATGCTCTAACTAAATCCAGTTTCCAGTGACTGTGAAACTCCTGTGAAGTTTGAACCTGAAGGTTCTAGTTCTTACCTGACTGGGGACATTTTACGATAGGTGTGTCTCTGACCAAGAACAAGGGAGCTCATGCAATAAACAAACACTGAAAGCAGAAAGTGTTGTTATCCATCACATGCATCTCGTCTTCCAGCTCAGAAACGTCCACCATTACCAAGGCGGGAAAAAGTGAAGTCAGGGCACCAATTTCAACTATTTACATGAAATACCAACAAGAATGGTCAGATCAGCAAAAGGGAGAAGGGCTGGAGAAGGAATTCTGGTTCCATCCCTGGCATCACTTTTTGGAGTGACTTGGGTTCAACACTGGCTTCCAATCTCCCACCAATAAGGACTTAAATAATCTCAAGGAAAAATACAATTAGCATCCAGCAAGGGAAAATCACAACCAGACTATATTTAAAATGTCCAAGAATTCCACTTCAACAAAAATTGAGAAAGTACAGGTATCACTATATAACCAGCTCATTTTAAAAATAAAGTCGGGCGCCTGGGTGGCTCAGTCATTAAGTGTCTGCCTTCAGCTCAGGTCATGATCCCAGGGTCCTGGGATGGAGCCCCACATCGGGCTCCCTGCTCAGCGGGAAGCCTGCTTCTCCCTC